GAATCATAGAGGCCATATAGTTTAACCCTTTGATAAACGAAAAACTCAACGGAAGTCAAGTGACTTGTCCAAGGACATGCTGTTAACCAAATAGCAGAGATAGACTTTGAACATGAGTTTTCTGTTCCCAAACTTCCTATTTTACTCCAGTGGCCTCAAACTTAAATAGAAATGGCTCTCTACAGGCTGCACATTGACTTAGAAAACCACACGTTAACATTATCAGTGTTGTATTGTATTTTTATTTTGTTAAACATTTCCCAATTACATTTTAATCTGGTTCCAACAGCATTAGGGAGTTCTGCAGTCACTGGTCAAAAGTTGGACACCTCTGTCTTCATCATGCTGTCTGCCTAGATGGGCTCAAGGGTCTCTTCCATGATAAGCACTTCATGCTTCTGTAAGACGCACGAAAAGCATACTACATCTAGATGCTATGTCTCAGGTGACAAATGGGAAAAAAAATCCAGAGGTGGGTGTACAGGACTGAAGATCTGGAGCTCCAGAGATGGAAAATATTGCATTTTTGCTTAAATGTATTATTTTGTTGAATAAATCTTACTTTCTTGAAAATAGTCCTCATAAATAATTAGTTAAAAAACTAAGTTTCCATTATAATTTTGGGGGATCCAATCATGTTTACTCTTCTATTACCCTTCTTCCTTAATCCATTACCACTATTTTCTAAATATTACCTATCTTTATATACTATGACCATATAAATCTCTTCCCATGGGAGACAGGGAGTTATTCTACCCACCAGAATTACATTGGGCACAAAAAGGGAAAAGGGAATGAAAGGAACAGATTACTGAATATTCAATTTATTTAAATCTATAATTGCATTATGTGTCCTGCAAGCATAACTTCTAGCATTGTTACCTTCTAAATACAATTAAATTTATTTCATTTGGACTTCATTAATTCAGCAACTGAGAAAGACTTGGATAGAAACTGATTTGAAATTTGCCTTTGCTTTATCTATAAAGGAATAGTTTGCAAAAAAAAAAACTAATAGGGCAAACATTTTTTATAAGGGGAGTATTTAAACTATACATGAGAATGAAGTTCTTTTTTCCTAGCTATCTCAGAAATATCCCTTTAGATACAATTTTTTTTTTTTTTGGTGAGGGCAATTGGGGTTAAGTGACTTGCCCAGAGTCACACAGCTAGTGAGTGTTATGTGTCTGAGGCTGGATTTGAACTCAGGTGCTCCGGACTCCAGGGCCAGTGCTCTATCCACTGTGCCACCTAGCTGCCTCGATACAAACAATTTATAGCAAAACATATTTCTTAAAGGAAATTCTCCAAGGAATTCTATAGGCACAGAGGAAGTGTGTGTGTGTGTGTGTTGGGGGGGGTTTGTGGGAGACAATTTTTTCATGAGGGCAAAAAAGGAAGGAGTACAGCTTAAAATTCACTTCATTAGCAAATCTATTTACAGCAATGCTGTATTTCTCTAAAAAAACATTGCAAGTCACACCTTTTCACTAATTCAAATAGAGACATGCCTAATTGGTGTGAATTAATGAGATTTTGCTAGCTATATTTCAATTCATCACAAACACCAGACTCTATGATACAGCTAAAGAGATAAGAAAATTGGAATATGTCAAGGAAACTTATTTTCAGTTTATATTACTGAGACTCTAAAGATTCCAGTTTTTCAGACTAATATGAATGCACACAATAAACACTTTGCAACATGAGAAGGTGAAGAAAATGACAACATTTCCAAATGTATTTATTGAGAAATAGTAAAGATGTACATATTTTTACAAGCTTTTAATATTAATTTACATTTCTTTAAATTATGTAGGCCCCAATATCAACTATTTACTAATGCATGACAGAGACCTTCAATTTTGATTAGTTATGATTTCCAAAAGGCTTCTATTATTGGGAGTCAAAATGCAGCTTTGGCTCACGATGCTTGTTTTCCCTTAGAGAGACTAAATAACCATATTCATTCAGAATGTAGGCTTGTCATAAGCAAGTGTGCTGAGAGGAAAGCAAATTCATAGGGGAACATGCTGTGGCTGCTATTTTGAATATTTATTTTAGGAGAGACTAAGTTAATCAAATTCAGAGTGACATTTGCCACCTACTTCTCTGCATAAAACTGCATGTGTTTCTGAAAGATGTTACCTCTGGCCTTGATTTATAGAATTTTACTGGTGTAGATTAACTTACTTCCATTTCCTAAGGTACTGACCACCTATATTTGGTTACTGAAATTATACTCTATTAATATTTTGCAGGTGCAACACTAAATATGGTTATTATTTCTAGTACTATACAAAATCCATATTTGTACAGTAGCTGAAAACCCACTTCATTTATAGAATGTCATTCAAAATAGTCATAATAATAAGGCACAATATCCTATATTTAAATAGTATGTGGCAACTGCCAACATTGTTTTTTCCTAAGATTAGAAAGAAAGGAGACCTGTGTGTATATGTCTGTGTATATGCACGCATATGTGTGCTTCTGTTTATCAGGGTTGGGAGGTATTCTTTGCCTATAATCAGAAAGATTAAGTTAATAGTTGAAAACATATTCAAAGTCTGATTCGCCAGACTGTGACTTGTTGCCCTAGGGTATAACTGGACGAACAGACTGCTGTCACCCTCATCTTTGGTCTGGCGGTTGTCAGTCTATTTTGAGCACGGATTCAATGAACAAAAAGCATATGAACCCGGAATTGTAGGTGCCATGAGCTCTTTGTTTCTTTACCCTTCCGAAGGACTTTCCTTTCTGAACCTGTGGTTTGGCAACATTAGAATTCCTTTCTTGGTATGGGGAAGAATACAAGCTTCTAATGCAGCTTAGCATACTGTCCTTCAGGCATGTCTGCTAAGAAATTGTGTAAAGTTCTTATAACTAGATATCAGTTCATGAGATGTCTCACATGCTCAGTTGGTTGACTTAAATATTGAGTAAAATAGTTTGACTTTGTTAAACTGTCTCCAACCAAAGAACTTGTATAAATTTTTCTCAGCTTGGCTCTAATAAGAGCTAATGTGCCAGGGATAAAAATAGTACATAATTCAAAGCTTGAGGTCAAGTTTTATAATGGCTTGATAGTCTTATACAAGGCTTGGTGATTTCATTCTCTCTTTGGCTGTTGTAGACAAAGGCAAATTTTCCAGCCAAGAAACTTAAAAGGATATTTCTAAAATATATATTTTGGTAGATAGACCAGGTGCCATCATTCTCTAAGCCATGAAAGTCTGATGCTATTAAAATCTCAAACTGGCATAGTAAGTCATGGACTTCCCATTGGTTAGGTGGGATGATGTAGGTGACTGGACATTGTACACACCTTTAACAGAGAACTGTGGGTATAAGAATCACCCAGACACTTTGATTTTCTAGGACTATGAAATAAGGACTATTAGGGGAAAATATCAGAAAGCAACAGGAGAACCTCTACTGTATTACCAACCTGCGTCACTCATGAAAAAGAAGAAAGCACACAGACATAAGCGAGGGGGATTCTCTTTGTACTGTTACAATACTGTTAAGAGATAGAAAAGGGTAACACACAAGCCTTCAAAAGTCAGAAGATAAATGAAAAAAAATATAAGAACAGGGTTGACTCTATAAAATATTATTTCTGTAACATTGCCAAGATCAGTGTGACATATTGATTTATCTGATACTGCTTTATGGAAAGCTCACACAGTTTCACTTTCCCTAAAGAATGTTTCTTATTAGGGGCATATATCTCACTTAAACTATTGGAGAACAATCTGTTTTGGGGGAGGGGGAATAAAATTTATCTTTCTTTTCAATTTCAGCTCACTCCATGAACAGGATCAGAAGACCTATTACTAGGTGATAAATATTGGTTTTCATGAGGGTGTTTTTCCCTCCATGACACACATCCCTAAAGATTTCAAACTCAAAACAGTGCAAATAACCATGAATATGGCCCTCAGTTTTCTCATGCAAAAATATAGATAGGTTGCTCAAGACTTAAATATCCATTTTACTTCCAAAGCAAAGGTCCCCAGAATCATTGCAAACTCCCCCAAACTTTCTACTTATGTTTGGATGAGCTATTATTATCCCTCATACTATCAGTGGAATTATTCGGAATCCAAATAAAAACACAAACTTTCCTTTTCACTCCCCCTTCCCTCACTGCAACAAATACTTAATTACTATTTGATTCAGTCTTGAGCTCTGATAACTTGAATTTGAAATTTGGTCTTGTCAAGAATTATCACAAAGTTTTTTTAATCTTTATCTACAGAGTTTTTAACCAAAGTTACATCTTAACACACAAACACTGTCTTGTCTTGTCTTTAAGGCACAGCACATCAGTATGCACATTCTGTTTGCCAAACTTATAAAAGAGACAATATTATATTCCCAGTTCTCCCTCCCTTCCCCCACCCCCCAAAAAAAGAAAGAAAAAAATTGCATCCATTTCCAAAGTCAGCTGCTAATAAAGTCACAGTAAATTATTTTCATCAATAATTTACACAAATTACAGGTCTAGACAGAATTGTCATTATACAGTCTGAGTGCATTTCAATTCAGATTTTCTGGGTTAGGGAGGCTAAAGTCTGATTCAAACCTCAGTGTTGAGAATATATCCCATATTGAGGAATGTTGTTGAACACCACTTTGTCAGATGGGAAATGTGTGTTGCTGCTTTGCCAACATGAGAGTTCTTTTCTAAAGCTGTTTAACTCCAGTTAGGGCTCATTCGGTGTATACCAGCAACCTCCATAATTCATTAAAGTGTTGCACAAATAAGACCATAGAGCTTCCTTTCTGTAGAACTAAAGTTTTAACTCCATTCAGCAATCTGAATTCTTCCTTCTGGAATTTTCATTCCAAATATGATTTCATCCTTTAAGACAATTTATATGTGTAAAGCCAGAGGCATTGAATCACACATAAAAATTCAGTGTACTTGAGATATATAAAAAAACCCAGCAAAAACAAAAAAAAATAAACGGATCTCCAACAATGGAACACAGTTACAAATATTCTAGTTCCAATGCTTGATGTAGAGCCAAGAGGTCTGAATGACTTGATATCCTCCAAAAGGGCATGTTGTGCTGTGGTTATTAAAAGGGTGAGGGTGGGGTGGTTGAGGGATGGGGAAGGAGAGGAAAGAGAGATCATCACCATGGTCTAAGCAAATTACCATTGTATACACAGTATGTGAAGTCAGTCAAGTTCCAAGGATGTACTTTAAAGGGAGAATTAAACTTGAAGGATTGGTACTAACAAAATAGCATGATCAACATCATAAAGAAATAGATCTGAACTGGATTTTATGGATGACAATATAGGAGAATACGAGAATCCTCTAGGATGTCTTTGTTAATGTTCGTATTTCTTCAGAATATCTCATGACTATTACCAGAACCAGAAAAGCAAAGCTATCCACATACTTGAAACATACTTGTAGATTCATTCATTGATAAGCAAGTTTTAGTCATTTATCAAACTCTCTCATTTAGCAAAGGGAAAGAAAATCACTTTTATTCTCTGAATAATTCTATTCCCCGCCCCTATTGGACAGTTGATGTGAAAAGCACTATGTAGAAAAGAAACATCAAAGTGGCTACTGCTTGTAAAAGTCAAAATTTGTACTTAGTTGAAAATAGTGACTTTTCCCCATTTCATTACTATTGGGAAGCTAAAAGGAGGAAGGTGAATGTGTACTCACATCTGTATAGGTTGGTAAATTTTAAAATTGTTTCAATCTGGTCTGGTGTTTTCCATCTGTGTATATGAGCTTTCCCTTTAAATTCAATGGAGAAACACACTTTGCTAGAAATATGTTAAAACTAATAGGAACTTTTGGACTAGTTGAGAGATTTTCAAAATAAACCCTACTTTTTTGTCAGAAAGAAAATTTGCATTTCATGAAGTTCTGGAATTTCCTAATATTTATTTCTACTCAGCTCAGATCTATTTGTGACACGCAGAATAGTTTATGATTTTTCTGCACATGCAATTGCAGCTACATCCCAAGAAAAGCATGCATTTTAGGATCTAGAAAAACCAACCACCTGTATTTCAAAACAGAATTCTAGACTTTTACCATCACCATTACTATACCTACATAAAAAAAACCATTTGGAAATAGCATTCCAATGAGATTTTTGGTTTATTTTGACCTATCATGTGTTGTCCCAATTGACTAAGTGAAAAGTGCATAGTGGAAAGCCTGTTAGATTTAGAGACAAAGAATCTATGACAGGTCAAATCAACAAATACTTACTGAGTATCTATTATGTGGCAAGCATGTCTGTTATCCACTAAGCATTGGGTTCACGTCTTAGTTCTGCCATTTACTACTCTGAGATCTCAGGCAAATCACTTAATCTCTCTTGGACTCATCTGTCTCATATGTAAAATCAGAAAATGGGCCTACATGGTCTCTATAGTCCTTTCAAGCTCTAAATCTATAATTTTGAAATATGAAGTCACCACATTATTGACTGATACTTTTAGGTTTGGGCACATAATCCTGGCATTGTTCCTGGTTTACCTTTGAGTTAGGAAATTAATGCAATTGAATTGCCTCAGTTTCTAAGTTAGTGATAGGTGAAAATAGAGAAGGCCTTTTTAAATAGTGTCATGTGGTAATTCAGAAAGCTAATGTAATGTTAGGCTTCATAAAGAAAAGCATAAAGTTCAGGACTAGGGAGATGACAATCCTGCTCTGCTTAATCATATCTGAAGTATTTTGTTCAGTTCTTGGCACTGAATATTAGGAAAAGCATTGTTAATATGGAAAGTATCTAATGGAAAATAATCTGGATGGTGAAGGGTCAAATTCATGCTATATAGGATGAAGGTAAATTTATCCTGAAGAAAGTAAGACTTAGGGAGGACATGATAAGCTATTTTCAAGTTTATCCTGGAGAAAGACTAAGGGAGGATATGCTAAGCTGTCTTCAAGTGTTTCAAAACTTGTCATGTTTAAGAGGAAAAAGCTTTAATAAGATTACAGATCACAGACTCAGAGTTGGAAAGGACCTTAGAAGTCACTAAACTAAACTTTTCATTCTATACAAGAGGAAATTGAATCCCAGAATCATTAAATGACTTGCCCGAGATTATAAAGATAGCAACACTGAGTCTATATTTAAACCCAGTTTAGCAAGTTCGTAATTCAGCACTCTACATCACATTTGGGCAAAATGAAGGACAATGTTGAGAAATTACAAAGAAGTAAATTTGGAATTGTTGTAAGGAAAAAAATGTCTAACAATTAAAGCTATCCCAGAGTGGAATGGGCTATCTCAGAGAGTAAGGGATTCTCTTCCATTTGAGGTCTTTAAATATAGACTGGTCGACCACTTGTCAATCATACTGTCCAGGTATTTCCTGTTCAAATATAAAGTGGAATAGATCATCTCTGAGGTCCCTTCCAACTCTATGCTTCTGTAATTTCTGGCCTTAGAAACATGTGACATTCTTGGTACTCTGGGTCCATTGAACAATTACTCTCACAATATATTAAACAGTCTGAACTGAAGACTACATGCCAAAGGTATTCTGGAGATAGTAAAAAGAAAGATTACATTTTTAGGATATTTAACAAAATTTCCTTTCAGAAAATTTCCTGTTCATTTTCATTAAAACTCTAAAATTCCTTAGAAGCTACAAAGGTTTTATTTATTAAAAAAAGAACTATAAGGCAATAAAGAAGATAGATGAGGGAGATGGTGAGAAATTGAACTTCTAAAACTATTCTTTAAATTTCAGGAGGGCTGTTTATCTTATTCAGTTTCATTTGCTTGAGGATGAACATTTTCTCTCTTGTTCTTGTCTTAGTAATACATTAAAAAAACCTAGTCATTTAAGAGTCCTGCCTATTTTAAATAGCATTCAAGTCAAGTGTTTGTGATGTGAAAGAAATTTTCCTACATTTCCTATCAAATTTTAGGAAAATCAACAAACAAAAATGCTAAAATCCAAATGGTTAATTTAAATGCAAGTATTGACCTCATGCTCTGGTTTCATCTTTAAATTCAAATCATTTGCCAATCTGCCACTGCACCAAACTACAGGAATGCAAACAAAACAGCTTGCATTGGAAGTATCACACCAACATTTTTGTGAGACAGGTTACCTTTTTTGCTGCCTGTTCTTCTTCTACACCATCCCCAATTACAACATATACTACTTTTCTGCCAAACCTTTGCATTATTCGCTCAAAGCAACTTTCTTTTCCTGGAAGATAAATAAGATAAAGTTCAGAGTGAAGTTACCTGGTTAGCGGCATGCTCCTCATCTCGGCCATCTCCAATCACAACATAAGTTATGTTAGTGCCAAATCTGGACACTATACGCTCAAAACAGCTTTCTTTTCCTGAAAAACAATGCACTGCTTATTCTTTCAGCCACTGTTTCAATTTGCAAAAAGATTTGCAAAGGGTTAAATGAATTTGCTTGAAGATTATTGAACTTTGCTATAGACCTCTGACCTCTGTATATCAATAACACTGCTGAAAGGCAGAAGAACTTGGTTAGGGTAGATTATTGAACACTGTTTGGGAAAAAAAAAGTTAAGATTGATTTTTGGCAGCATGAGACTGTTGGCACTGCTTGCCTCAAAATATAAAAGCATAATTATTTTATAATCACTTAAATAATTTAATAATTGTTAGTTAAGTTCAAGGGCTGTTAAATAAAATAAAAAGACAAATTTTATTGTTTATTTTTACTGTTTTTACATGTTTATTTACATTCATTATTTATTTACATTTTTACATGTTTATTTTTACTGATCTCCAACTGAAATTTAGCATTTGTTTCAATTATGATTTAAAAAAAAACATTTTAAAGACTACCAAAGGGGTCCATGGCACAAAAAAAGTTAAGAACTGGTCTAATTCTAATAGGAATTTTATTTAAATGTGTTTTAAAAAGAACATACTGAATCAAGCAAAAAGGATAGAAGATTTGCTTAATCAAAAAAGAACATTGCAGTGTGAAGGAAATTACTCTGGTCACTAGCTCCTTTCTTTGAAGAATTGGGAAGTCTATGATGTTCAGGCCAAAAGACGATAAGGGAGAAGTAGCTTATAGTGCTTATAAAACTACTCAAATTAAAATCAGATTCTGTCCTTCTTTGCTCCATTCCAACTATCATCTCATATACAATATTGAATTTAATTTTGTTGCACTCGCTGAATCTTGCTTTTTGAGTACCACTTGGAATATTCATTTGTTTATTTAAAAAATTTCTGAGACCTTTACAATGCTGATATTTGCTTTCATTCCCGTGAACATCAATACTTTATTACCAATGCATTTGTAACTATGTTTTTACATTTTTTTCATTATTTGGTAATTCTAAAATCTATGAAACAATGCTATGAAGGTGAAAAAAAAGAAAACTTTTAATTAATTTGATTTTTAGTGTGAATTTACTTAATAAAAAAGTCATTCTTTAAAGCATGTATTCTGTTATAGAACCATATGTCTTGTGAAAAAGCCAAATGAAAATCCAAATAAAAATCTAATATACGATTAGGATTATTGCTTTAGAACAGAAGAGACTTTAGAATCCATCTGGTCCAACCTTCTCCTTTTAAAGATGAGGAACTTAAGGATTAGAGAGGTTAAATGACTTGCCTAAGGTTACATGGGTGGTGAAAAAAGTGAGATTTGAATACAAATCTCTTTACTCCAAAGCCCAGATCTTTCCACTGTATGAATAAACTCCACTAAAACAAATGTAAATATTTACATGAACATATGGAATCAATTAATACAAGTGATATCTTGCATAGAAGGCATCATTTACTAGTACCCGATTTACAAAATCGTTGATTTGAATTCAGTAGTTCTATACTCTTCAATTCCCCTAAAACTCCTTTTCAAAGCAACAGAAGGTTCTGACTATTTGAGATTCATCTACACCAGTGCTTAAAATGGGACTTTGTGACATTCTGATGCCCATCTTTTTAAAGGCTAGGATCTCTCCTGATTTATCATTGAAACAGCTGCAATTGGGTACTTTTGGTATCAGGTCCTTTATTTGAACTTTGAAGCACTTGGGCAGGCAGGTTATTTTTGGTGGAAGATCTTTGGCTCTTGAGCTTCCCTTGTCAGGGTGCCCAGAGCCTAAGTTTGTTGACCTTCAGGGCACAGTCCATCTATTTCATCAGGCATTTCCTTGACAAGTCAATGCATACATATACTCTCTTCTTTTAACTCTTTCAAAATGGAAGTTGTTTAAGATTTATTTTGAATGTATTTTAGAAGAGATAGTTATCAAAATGTACCCACAGCCTCTGAGATGAACACATAGACGTGATTAGGTTTATTGATCATTGCACATGGTATAAATGAAGTTTTCTATCCTCTCATGACATGGGAATATTCCAGCTATGTTATTTGAGCGTTATAACTCTTTTCCATCTGAGACTTTCTTGTAATGCTAAAAAGGGACCTGAACTTCAGATCTACATAACTGAAAATATAAGGATCCAGTATTTAATATATATGATAGTTAAGGATTAAATAGCATGGGCAGAATTGCTACATATTATTTTGATAATACATACTATTATCCTGTAAGTAATATATGAAAAGTGCTTGGACCAGGTAGAGATATAGTAAAAAAAAAAAAAAAACTTTCAATATTTTTTTAAATGGGGTAGGATAGAAAGAAAATTAAGGAGTAGCCTCCATGCATCATGATTTGGGTCATTCTCAAATTTGATTACCTAATAGCTAAACTTGAAAAGAGAGAAAAAATGATAAAAATACAAAATCTCACAAAAATATTCCTTATAATATTTTTGATTAATTACTTACCTATTTTAGTTGCACTGTAAATATTTTCAATAGGAAAAGCACCTCCCAAACTATATAGTAGGACTTTTGCAAGTGCTGGGATAAGCTGAGTTGTTGTTACCAAGACATTTACACAGTTACTCCTAAAAAGGGAAAATGTATATTTTTTAGTTTTAATACTGAATAATAAATAAGTATATACAAATATACATATATGTAGTATATATATGTATTACATTGAACACTAAAACATGAAGAATCAGATAATAGTATTAGAGTAAATGAATGATTTCCAATATCTTCTATTTCTATAATATTTTAAGCCTTATGAAGTAATTTCCTCCCCAAATCCTGGGCTGTGTGAATGTTATTATCCTTATTTTATAGATAAGAGAAATGTAGTCTGGTAGAGATCAGGTGACTTGTTCATGGTCGAACAGTTAGTTCTGTAATTCTCAGAACCTGCATTGCAACCATGCCTCATAAGTCTAAATAGGGTACTCTTTAAATTCTTTAAATATAACTCACAACTCTTTTCACTACTTACATTGCCTCCCTAGCAATGTTAACAGAAATAATCTTTGTCCCTCAAATTTCATTAAAAAAGGCTAAGGGGCTAAGTTGGACATAATCCCAAATCATATGGAAACAACGAATGAACTAAATCCCTCCAACCCAGATTCTTTCTCCTGCTACCTATCAAAGAGCCACCTCTTATAATAAAAGTAGTTTTTTTAACGAAAAAGAGGAAGAGAAAAAAAATCAGATAATTAGTTGAAATATCAAAAAAAATTCTGATGTGCATTTTCCCACTTATGTTGAGCCCAAATTTGCCATTTTTTTAACTTCCAGCAACTGATACGAATTTTGTCTTCTAGGGGGGAGGTGAGTAAAACAAATCAATTTCGTCTTCCATGTAATTGAATCATAAGATCTGAGAGTTAGAATAAATGTAAGAAGTTATCTAACATAACTCAAACCCAAGCAAGGGTTTTCATCCTTTGCGGATTCACAGCTTTGGCAGAATCTTTTGAAAAGTCTATGTTCTGTTTGAATATCATCACAATTTCCCAAGACAGTTGGACCATTTTCCTTTTACAAACCCTTCTTGAGTTCTTTGGAACTCAAGTTCTTTCTCAGGGTTGGCTTATATCTGTCTCCCTATAACTTTTGTCCATAGCTTTGTTTCCTGGGACCAAACAAAAACATTCCAAAATAGCTTTACTTTATCATTGCTCTTTAGCTCCTTCTTGGCTCTTCCAGCTCCTTCCAGACAATTATCACCTTCTCCTATTGCTCTCCTTTTCCAGGTTAAATAGCAATAACTCCTTTAACAGATCCCAGAATGGTCTGGCTTCAAGTCTTCTTAGAATCCTGGTTAGCCTATCCTGATGATCCTATCCTCTGAACCTCCCCTTTAAAAATGTCCTTTTAAAAATAATGTCCTACCTAGAACTGAACACAGTATTCCAGAAGTGGTCTGACCAAGGCAGATTACTGAGGGCCTGCCTATGTTAACTTTCTCAGTTTGTAATTCCTCCAGTTCAGAATAGAAGAAAATCTCAGAGCTGGGAACTAACTCAGAGATCATTTAACTTGTTTTATTTGAACAAAAATCAACTCTACAACGCACCTGACTAAAGGACACCTAGCCATTGCTTGAAAACCACCAATGAGAGATGCCATTACCTTTTGAGTTAGCTCATTCATTTTCTTCGTGGTTTTAATTTTTCTTTCTTTTTCTTTGTATAGAATCAAAATCTGTCCCTGAAACTTCCTCATATTACTCCTGATCTTGCCATGTAGGATTCCTTCAGTCCTCCTTAATATTGCATGGTTTCAAGATCTAATGCTATTGTGGTTTTCTTCCTTTGGATATGTTCCAGTTTGTTAATGTCTTTTTTTTTTTAGTTGTAATCTACAGTACTCTAGATGTGGTATAATGGGGGCTTCCTTTATACTAGATATTGTGCTTATATTAGTTCAGGCTAAGATGACTCTAACTTTATGACAACCACACCATGTTTTTTTTTTGTCTGTTTTTTTTAGGCAATTGGGGTTAAGTGACTTGCCCAGGGTCACACAGCTAGTGTCAAGTGTTTGGTCTGAGGTCAGATTTGAACTCAAGTCCTCCTGACTTCAGGGCTGGTGCTCTATCCACTGTGCCACCTAGGGGCCCCCTCAACCACACCATGTTGTTGATTCAAAGTGAAACTGAAATAAATTAGAACCTCTAGGTCTTTTCACTGGATTATTATTAAGGCGGGTCTCTACAATGCCATTGATTTTTTGAATACAGAGGCAGGACTTTATATTTACCTTGATCTAATTTCATCTTGTTAGTTTGTGTCCATTGTACTAGCCTGTGAATATCTTTTTGAATCTTGAAAATAGAAACACATTTGCTAGCTATTCCTCCCCGTTTTGTAGCATTTATGCTTTCATCCAAGTCATTGATAATAATAAAAAATAGACAAAGCCCAAGTGTAGAACCCTAAAGCAGCTAGGTATCAATTTATCAGCATGATGGGTATAATTGTTCCAATAGATACGAACCCGCACAACAATGTAATCACTCAGCCTTCGTTTTTCTAGGTTGTCCATGAAGATATATAGCTCAAGTATTTAAATTTATTTTTATAACATTTTACAAAGCCATCTAACCTTTTCTTTGAACTAATCACTAGTTCTTTACCAGCTATCCATAGCTAGTTACTGTTATAACAAAAAAAAATTAAAATCACTCTAATAGGAAAAAAAAAAAGCTCTAACAGGAAAATCACAGAATTTGAAAAGGGATCCCAGGGGCCATTAACTTAAACTCATAATTAAAAAGGAATAGTCACTACAAAATATTTAAGAAGTGGTCATCTAGTCTCTGCTTTAAGACTTCCAAAGAAGGAAAACTCAATATCTCTAAAAGCTGCTATTTCATTTTTGGACAGTGCTGATTATTTGGAAATCATTCCTGACATCAAACCTATATTTGTCACTTTGCAATCCCCCCCACCATTGTTCCTGGCTCTGCTATCTGGGATTAAACACACAATAGCCCTTCAAATGTATGAACCTGTCCCTACTGAATTTTTTTTTTCCCTTTTCTAAGTAAAATATTTTCCTATAACCTATCATCATATGGCATTAACTCTAAGCCTTTCACCCTTCTGGTTGGCTTTCCCCTACATTCTCTCTAGCTTACCAATATTCTTAAGCCATGAGGCTAGAACTAAGCATAGCACTCCAGATGAAGCCTGAGGAAGGGAAGATAAAGGAGAATCAGCTCCTTATTTCTTGAAGCTAAGCTTCTTTTGTAATAGTAAGCATTTAATTTTTTGGGATCTTTTTGAGACAGTCTGCTGTCTTTCTCTTCCCTATTCTGTACTTGAAAAGTTGATTTTTTTAATTTTTATTTTTGGTACCCTAATTGTACAACTTTATATTTATCTCTACCAAATTTAAGCATAGTTGATTCAGGCCCATGTTCCAGTCTTTCAGTATTGATTTTGGATCCTGACTGCCATCAAACATGTTCAAGATCATATTATCTTCAAATCTGATGAATGTGCCATCCATGCCTCTATCCAAGTCAGTGATAACACTGTTGAACAGGACTGAGCCTGGGGTACTCTAATGTACATTAGACTCCTAATGATTATTCTTTGAGTTTAGTCATCTAACTAATTCTGGTTTTGTTTTGTTTTGTTTTTTTTATTGGTGAGGCAATTGGGGTTAAGCGACTTGCCCAAAATCACACAGCTAGTGAGTATGATATATCTGAGGCCAGATTTGAACTCAGGTCCTCCTGACTCCTGAGCTGGTGCTCTATCCACTGTGCCATCTAACTGCCCTACTAATTCTGAATTTATACAATTGAAGCTCCATTTTAAAGAGTTCAGGCCAGCAATGTTCACTTATTCATTTCTTTCTGGTTCCTGCTCCTGACTCTCCACCATGTCCTTGCACAAGCACCTTCCTTCCTTCCTCCCCACCTCTTTTAGCTTCCTTTTATGCATGATCTTTCTTCCTTAGAAGGTAAGCTCCTTGAGGGCAGGGACTGTAGTCCTGTTTTTTTTCTTAAACTGCTATTACTATTCCCAGTGATTAGTACAGTACTAGTAAGAGTTTAATTAATTCTTGATGACTTCTTTATCTATATCTCCTCATCTTCCCCACAAGAATTGTATGAGATATTTTATCAGAAACTTTCCTAAAATAGGTTTAGTAATTCTGTCAAGAAAAGGAAATAAGGTTTCAAAACAAATGATCTGTTTTTGATGAAGCTGTGCTGGATCTTTTAAATAACTGTTTCCCTTTCTAAATGTTTACCAACCATTTCATTTAACATCTGTAAGCCTTATATTCTTGATCTGTATAAATAAAGGAGTTATAGTATATATAGCAGTTCTCAAAATGAGGTCCTAGAACTCTTTGGGGTGTCCAATACCTTATCAAGAGGTCCATCAGGTAAAAACTACTTTTGTAATAATACTAAAACATTTTAATTTCAAATACAGTAAAAAGTGATAAATATAACCCATATAAACCAAAGATCTTTGAAGGGTTCTAGAAAGTGAAAAGAGATTCTCAGACCAAAAAATTTGACAACTTCTGGTCTAAATGATGACTATTGTCATTCTATCTTGAACAAATTGTATGATTTTGTTAATGAGGACTAACTATCCTTCTAGGAAACTGAAATATTAAGACATATTGATCACAATTACCTTTTTTGAGCTGTCTTATCAGAACTTTCTTGAATGAATTAGAATATGTTAATTATTTCAATAGTAAATTGAATGACTTACCTAGTACTAATAATTGATAAGGATTTAAGTGCATTTGTCAGCCAGGAGTCTGTTAGGCCTTCAATCTCTGCTCTTAATTGCAGCCATGCATCTCTCTTAGCTGGGCCAAGGAGTCCTGTAATACCAAGTAAGGCAAAAGTTAAGATATCATGATTTACCAGGAATACTCTAATTAGAAGTCTGAATACATTCTACACTGCTATGAATTTGAAATAGAGGAATACTCTGGCTGTTTTCCCTCTTTCAAGCCTCTCCTTTCTCCAATCCATCCTCCCCACAGCTGTCAAAGTGAACTCCTTGAAGTGCAGGGCAGACCACATTACCTGCCCTTCCACATACTCAGTAGCCCAGCTGCACTGGCTTTCTTACTGTTTCTCTACATGATACTTTATCTTTCATCTCTGTGCTATGAACTTGCTGTCTTCAGTGCCTGGAGTGCTCAGTTTCCTAACTTTTGCCTTTCATCTCTCCTGGTTTCCTTTAAGACTCAGGTCAAAGTTCCCCTTTACATCAGTTTTTTTTCTGATTTCCCTAGCTGCTTATGCCTTCCCCCACCAAGTATAACATGTATCTGAATTGTAAATATTTTGAATATACCTATATATCTATATCTATCCCTCTATATATCTATCTATACTGGTATATGTGAAAGTTTTACGTGGAACAATAGGGTCAAGTGTTGGAGGTAGAATCAGAAAGACCTGAGTTTGAATCCAGTCTTAGAGACTTAAGTATCTGTGTGTTGTTGTTCAGTTGTTCCAGTCATGTCTGACTTTTTGTGACCCTTTGTGGCAAAGATACTTGAATGGTTTGCCATTTTCTTCTCCAACTCATTTTACAGATGAGGAAACTGAGGCAAAGAGGGTTAAGTGACTTGCCCAGGGCCACATGGCTAGTAAGTATCTAAGGCCAGATTTGAACTCAGGAAGATGAGTCTTTCTGACTCCAGGCCCAGTACTCCATCGACTGTGCCACCTAGCTGCCCATTAGCTGTGTGACCCTGGGCACCTACCTTACCGGGCTGCTGTGGGTACCACATTTCGTAACATGTAGAGTGCCTAGCAAACCATAGAAGTACCATACGAATGCTAGTTCTTATAATGTTGTCTTCTCAATTAGAATACAAGCTCTTTGAGAGGAGGGACTATTTATTTTTTGTCTCTGCATCCCAACACCTAGCACAGTACCTGTCACATGGAATGTGCTTAATACATGTATGTTGATTGACTGATCCCAATGGTTAGGAATGCGGCATTCATGTTACATTTGACAAAAATAAGAATTTTTTTTTTACTTCATAAAGTGTTCTTTTTTGTTTCTCCCTGCACAGACGTGTGATTTCACTAGCAAAAAGAACTCACAGTGAAGAAATTCCCTTTGCCAAGGGAGATCCACAGCTCCTCAGCAACTTATAGCCTTAGAGAGTGACCTGAAACCCTTAAAGGTTAAGTGACTTGCCCAAGGTCACACAGTCAGTATATGTTAGAGGCAAGATTTTAGCCCTGACTCCAAGGAGTGGAGCATCCACTATGCCATGCTGCCTCTCACTCAACTTATTATTAATTATCACTAATGACATTTTGAAATAATTACAACAGTCCATTTTGAAGGCCTAGAGTATTTTTTCCTCAGAAGTTCAGATGTATCGTATTTCTAAATATGATAAACTTATCATTGTATTGAAGGTAAAAATAATACATAAGTAAATAATAAATAATATTCAGCAGCTAGCATTTATTTGTATAGTGCTTTAAGGTTTAAAAAGTGCTTTATATATATTACTTTATTTGATTTTCAAACTCCTGGAAGGTGGGTGATATTATTATTCTCATTTTATAGATAAAGAAACAGAAGAAGATAGAGGTTAAATGACTTGCCCGGGTCACACAGGTAAGAAGTATGTGAGGTAAGATTGAAACAAAGGTCTTCCTGACTCCATGCCCAGCATGCTATCTATCCAATGCAACATTTTTCTGCTTCTATTCAAGAAATGTCTTGAAGTTTATGAATTATATCATAAACATTAATGGAAAAATAACTTGTGCCCACATGTACAAAAATATTCATAGCAGCTCTTTTTGTGGTGGCAAAGAATTGGAAATTGAGAGGATGCCCCTCAATTGGGGAATGGCTGAGCAAGTTGTGGTACGTGAATGTAATGGAATACTATCGTGCTATAAGAAATGGTGAACAAGCTGACTTCAGAAAAACCTGGAAAGACTTGTATGGGCTGACGCTGAGTGAAGGGAGCAGAACCAAGAGAACGTTGTACACAATAACAGCCATGTTGTGCAATGACTAATATTGATAAACTTAACCCTTCCCAGGAATACAAGGATCTAAGACATCTCCAAAGGCCTTGTGTTGGAAAATGCTATCCACATCCAAAGAAAGAACTATGGAATTTGAATGCAGATTGAAGCATACTATTTGCTATTTTTTTTTCTCTTCTGTTGAGTTTTGTTTCCTCTTTCTGATGGTTCCTCCTACTGGTTCTAATTTTTACTTACAACAGCACTAATCTGAAAATATGTTTAATAAGAATGTGTGTGTATATATATATATATTTACATATATATATAGATAGATAAAGAGGGAGAGAGAAAGAGAGAGAGAGAGAGAGAGAGAGAGAGAGTGCCTATATCAGATTGTGTGCCGTCTTGGGGAAGGTGGCAGGGAGGAAGGGGAAGAAAAATTTTAAACTCAAAAGCATATGGAAGTGATTGTTGATAAATCAAAATAAATTAATAAAATAAATAAATAAAAAAATGAAAAATAACTTGTACAATTTAGAGAGCAAAGATGGAGGAGAAACAAATTCTGCTAGTTATATGATACAATTTTCTGGGTTATTTGCCAATTGGTTTAATAACCCTACTTTAAAGTCCTACTCCTTCTGGAGCATAGATTCTTGGCTACTAGGCTAGTGAAGTACAAACTCTGGAAGGGATTACCAAGCAGGAAAGACTTTGAGTTTCTGTGTATCAGTATTTTATGGGAGGACCACTCTAGCTCAATTGAGCCGCTCATTACCAGAAGTTTGCCCACTACACAAACCATCTTTTCTCCCTCCCTCTTTCCCTTTGTGCTTTTGAACTTGCTATTTTTAATGCCTGGCATGTTTTCTCTCTCTCTTTTCACCTTCACCTTTTATTTCCCATGATCTCCTTCAAGACTCAGAACAAGTATTCCCTTTTGTATGAGATTTTTTCCTATTACCCTAGCTGCTAGCCTTTCCCTAAGTATCTGAATTGTATGTATTTTGTATTTATCTATATGTAGGCGTATATGCAAGACTCCCTCCTTCTTTCCTTCCTTCTCTCCTCCTTTCCTTCCTTCCTTCTTCCTTCCTCCCTTTCTTCCTTCCTACATCCCTGTCTTTCATGATTACACTGCAGCTGTAGAAAAAAGAAGATAGATGATTACTTTACAAATTTTTTTAGAGGACTCCTATGAGAAAGAATCAGAATGCAACCCCTCTTTGTAATCATCATCTATTTCTATAAGGGAGATTCAGTTTAATGTGCTGCATACAAAATTGGAATGGTATCTAGAAAGATTTAGGTCTATTTAATAGGTTTTACAAATTTGTAGTCTCCTATTTATTGCTCCTTAATGTATTTGTGTTCTGTTCTCTTTATATATGAAAAGTTTCTATCAATCACTCCTGTATTCTGTTTTCTATCCATGATACTTGAAAAAATGATAATAAAGGATTTTTACCTTTTTAGAAGCTTTACATAATCTAATAATGAACAGAAGTTAGGCTAAGAATAGTAAGAATCAAAGCTTCAGAAAATAATCTCATGCCCAATTCTTATAATATCTATAAAATTTTGATAGTGAGCTGTGCTATCCAGAGGAGATGCCAAATTATTGAGTATATTCTTTTACTTTCTTTTTCTTTTCTTTTATTCCTTGTAAATTTTTATTTTAAAAATAATAATCTTAATTAAATCTATGAATAAGAGTAGTTTAAAATTGGAATATTAATAGGGTCCATTGAGAATCACCTAAAATCATAGGAAATCATCTTCTTTTTTCTATTCTTTTATTCCTTGTAATTAAAAAAAATAAAAATAATAACCTTAACTAAGTCTCCATGAATGAGTAGTTTAAAATTGGGATATTAATGGGGTCCATTGAGGATTACCTAAAATCACAGGAAATCTCTAATTTTTCTCTTTTAGAGTAAAAAAAAGACCAACCCATGAACATGATTTGCTAATGTGTTTATTTTCCCCTTCATTCATGAAATCTTCCCACTGGTGCAGTCTACAGAGCTTCCTGCCTCTTTTTTTCTTCTAACTATGTTCTTATGCTCAAAACACCTGGAGAGCCAATCAAAGGAGAGCTCTTAATAGCCTATATTGTTAATTGTTTTGATTAAATACCTGTCTGCAAAATTCAGTAAAGAGAAAACCTTACAGAAATCCTCTTAATGCAGCTGCTCATTCATAGGTGGCTCTTTCTTTTATGCAAGATTGGCATCAATCGTAAAACCTCAAAATGCTGGTTCAAAGTCATTCAATTCAGCCTTAACAAATTGCAATTTCTTTACTATCATTGAGACCCAGCTACTCTCTGAGCTTTTACTCTGGGAAGGAGTTCTAACCTAAAATACATAAGCTTTTTGATATATATTTTTAAATATGCCTTTGAAAATGTTATTCTGAGAAGGGATCCATAGACTTCACCAGACTGTTGCAGGGACCCATGACAGAAAAAAAAAAAGTGTTAAGAACTTCTTTATTAGGACATCTTCATGCAATAAAGCAGACATGAAACATACATACCTCCTACGTTGTTCTTGTAGGTATTATATAATTCTTTTACTCTTCTGTAACGAAAAGCCAGCTTTCTCATCCAGTCAACCCCTCCTCTAACACCTGTTGGCAAACAAAGGTTTGCACTACTTGCAGCTGCATGGAAGCCATCAGTTGCAAAACTGTAGGTACTGCAACACCCAAAATACATTAAAAATAAATAAAAGAAATAATTACATTTGCAAATCTCTTTTATTCAATTTCTATAGGAAATATCATTACTGAAAAGTATGGCTCACCTTAAGTCTTGACCATTATCATCAGAAGAAACATCATCTATATGAACTTGATCGCACTCCTGTTGAAGACATTTAAAAAGTTATTTGCTTTTCAAATGATGCAACATTCCAGCATGTTTTTTTTCTTTTTGCAATTTTTTAAAGTGTGTGTGTGTGTGTGTGTGTGTGTGTATGTACAAGCCTATGTGATTTTCCTCACTGAACAAGCAACCAAGGCCAGAAGATGGCAGTATTGACACAATGACATTTGTCTCCTAAACTCAATTTTCTATTGTTTCTTCATGCTTGAAAAACATGGAATATTTCTACCCTGCAAAAACAGAATCTGTTAAAAAGTTATTTTAAAAAATCAACAAAATTCCTCCTCCTCTCCTCCATTCCTCCTTCTTCTTCTATTTCTATTTCCACTTTTTCTATGTCTGTTTCAGCCTCCTTTTCTATTTCCTCCTATTTCCCCTTTCTCCTCCTTCTTATCTTCCTCCTTTTTCCTTTCTACCCCTACTACACCTAAGCAAAATTTTTTCTTAAGTGATTCTTTTTTTTGTGTGAATCTGAAAGACTGGAAGTAAAGCGGATCTAAGTTTAAACAAACTCTGTTTGCTGTAAAACCTTCAAGTGGTCACTATTATTTATTATTTGTTGTGTTTCTACAAAGTGGTTTCACAGACTATGTTTCTTATGAGTTTGCCACGTCTTCCTGCATGTAGTTGGTTAAGTAATATTATGAAAAAGCATTTATACACATATGAGATATGAAAAAACAAGGTTGGCAGTGTACATGCATATATACGGTATACACGTCTATTTTTGTTGTCAGGTTGTTTCAGTTGTGTTCGGCTCTTTGTGCCTCCATTTGGAGTTTTCTTGACAAAAATACTGGAGTGGTTTGCCATTTTTTTTCTCCAACTCATTTTACAAATGAGGAAACTGAGGCAAACAGGGCCAAGTGACTTGCCCAGGGTCACACAGCTAAGTAAGTGTCTGAGGCCGGATTTGAATTTAGGGAGATGAGTTTTCCTGACTCCAGGTCCAGCGTTCTGCCCACTACACCACCTAGCTGCCCATATACATATGTACACATATATTGCTCTAGGAGGTCATACCTATTTGTCCTCTATTTATTTAGGTCCAAATAGTGCAGGGGGTGGGGGAGGGATTCTCTTATTGTATTTATTAATATAATAATTCTAAATGCTGCCAAAATTGTGCTTTATTTTTATGTTCAGGTTTTTTTTCCCACTGATTAGAGTGATTTTGATTGATTGATTTGGAGGGAAAGGGGAGGAACCTTTAAGAAAAACCAAAAATATTATCTTGCATAGGGTGTTGCATAAAAGAAAACCTTGTCAGGTGTGGGTTCATCATATGCCAGACTTACTGTTCTGTTTTTATATGTAAGAATATAGGAATGGTTCTCTCAAAATATCATGGAAAGTCTGCCCACCTGTGGATGGAATTTGATAACATACACACATACATATACACACATATATATGTATATCTGTATGTCCCTTAAATTAACAATTTGTTTTTTTCCTTTTTAATCATTTTACTTAATCATTTTACTCATTTCTCCTTGCTCAAGTATACTAAGTACTCATTTACTAAAAACAAACATGATGATATGCCTCTCTGAGATTTTTCAGATATTATTCCTTATAGGAGAATATTACTTTTGTTAATATAATAATTTACATTTATTGGATGTTTTTGATATTCTAGTAACCAAATACCTAATGTTTAGCAGCAAGACTTTCCAGAAGCAACTTCTAGCTAGTGTCTCAGGTTTCATTTTATCCCTGAGATTTAATCAGTAGGGTACTGCTAAGTAACTCTAAATACATATGATTATATGTGTGTGTGTGTGTGTGTGTGTATGTGTGTGTGTGTGTGTGTGTGTATACATATGATCATATTATTTTGAGGCAGTGCGGTAGAGCTGGAATTAAAGTCAGGAAGACTGGTTCAAATCATTTCATTTACACATATTAACTCTGTGACCCTGGACAGTGTGTCCTAGGGAAATTCTCAAGACCCTAATGTGCAGAACAATTGAGTATCAGCACTAGAAGAGAGAGATTTCTCATGATGGATTTCCTTACATGAGGCCCTTCTATGCCCCCCACATCTATCCATCCATCCATATGTGTATATGCATATACATGTGCATATATGAATATATATTATATATACATGTGTATATATATATAGAGAGAGAGAGAGAGAGTGATATAAAACATAAGCACATATCAGCTATATTTTGTGAGATTCAGATCTTTATGAATAACATTTTTTAAAAAAAATTAATGCACATTGCTTCCTGGCTTTCATAAAATTTCGTTAGTGCCTAAGTTCATAGATAAGAACATTTTCTACAGAGAAAATTTTTTTTAGTAATAGCCTTTCTATAGATAATTTAAATTCTGAATATAGTAATTTTTACTTGATGCCAACTTAAAATGCAAATTAAAATGAGTATAGAAATATTACAATTGTTTTTCAGCAGTACCGGGTAGTCTTTGAAGTTAGTTGTAAATATGGTACTGATGACATTTAATGGAAACATTCACAGTAGTTTGCTTTTCCAAAGCTCCAGGCCCTGTTATTTCATCCATATGGGTGCTTCTTCCACAGATACAGTTAATGACTTATTTATGCTTCAGGTCAATTATTTTTGTCCATTTTTTTTTTTTGCCAGAAAAGATTCATCAAATCGGGACTAACCTTGTGTACTTTTCTGAACTCACCTAGGTTGGTATCTGATGTCAGACAAAGAATTTGTTTTTTTAAGTCTTTCTGAGTTGTTAAGGCCTTCTATAAATTGAGCTTGGCTGCCATATTGCAGAACCCAGGTCACCACCACAATGCAATGACCAATGGATACAATATTATACAGAGAAGCCTTTTGACAGCTTGTGTTATTCCATTGGCACATGGATATTTAATACTAATTTTAAAAGTTACTTCTGGTTTGAATACTCTTACATTTTGATTTGTAGAGAAATTCTGCACATATTACAAGGATTAACTCACATGATTCATGAACATATAATCAGACTTTTGAAAACTAATACAAAAGTATCTAATCTAAACATACAGTAAGAACTCTGTGCTTAAAGTTTTTTTAAATTTTATTTTCTTCAAATCTTTGCATAGTTAAGTATGCCTGTTGAATCTGGAATACTCTCTTGGAGTAAGTACTGGTGATGGAAAGCCAAACTGGCATCTATATTTTGCTTAATAATTATTTTCCATTTTTTTAAAATTTTAGATACTTGGGAAAGGCCTCAAAGTGAAATTATGCTTGTATTTAGCACAATTTTCAATTCCGAAACCAAAACTTTAAAAAAAAATTCTACCAATAATGCTAGAAGGCCTAGTTATCTACCATTAGTAAATGAGGGGAGCACAGGATTGTCACTCATAAATCAAGGGATCCAGGAATGATGGTGTAATAAAGATTTGAAAACTGACTGGCATCTTGATATTTGCAGTTCATTACAAGAAAGCCATAGGATCATAAGATTGACAACTAAAGTTGAATGATCAGTTAATGTCCTGCTTTAGGCTTTTTATTTTCAATGTTTATGTGATCCCAGATTTTACTGTATTTTTACCCTAGTAACAAGTAGTCACATAATTAAAGTTCAAATTTAGAAAATAGAGTTGGGTAGGAAGTTATTATTAAAACAAAAACAATGGTTATCAAAGAGAAGAATTTTAATTTGCATTTTCTCAGAAACTATAGAAGTTGCCAGCAGCTGTGACCACACAAGTTGAGCTAGCTACTAAGATTTAGATTCTTGAGTAAGCCCATATAAATTGAAGGGAAAGTTACTCTTTGTCAGCTTGAGCTCAAGTGTCTAAGGAAGGACAAGTAGCAACCTTCCTAAAATTTGCCTTGTAGAAGCACAGTACCCAAAGTTAACTGTTTGAGGAAACTCGGTGTTTGTCGTGGTGTGTATGTGAACAAGCATTGTGTCTGTGTGTGGGGGGGGGGTGGGAAAGGGGTCACCTAGCAGCACAAATTGTTTAGCTATTCACTGCTGACAGTGCAATGAATTTCCATGTCAATTAAAATGGAAAACAAAATGAGGTCACCTCCAGATAAATATGTCTTCTAAAATAATAATCGTGGATGGGTATGAAATAAAAGGAATGCTAGACCCAATTGTTGTTTGAGAGTTTTATTTATTCTTGGATTATCTCATTCTAAACACATGCTGTACTCTTTTTTTCTCAGATGGTTCAGTCTAACTAACTATATAAAATTGATTTATTCAAAAGGAGCTTAGTATCTGAAGATGGCCCCCAAGTAACATTCTAGAAGCCTGTTGAAGTGATTGATAAATCCAGTGTTGGGTAACATGGGTTTTTAGTTTTGATTAAAAAGGAATTTGTAACATGCTCTTAAAAAATAATTCACTACAAAAAACCTGGTCAACACAGTTTTTATAATGAATTCATAGAACAGGAAACAAAATATCTAACTTCCTGTTTTTGCCAGAGAGACATGTCTTACATTTAATATTGACTATAATAAAATATCTATATGATATGCACACACTACATATCCTTGTGTTCACCTTTCTGATGGAATTTTTAAAATCTTGTCACATATTATTGCTACCCTCTTTGCTTTAGTGCTCTACCCAAAAATAAAGAGTAATACTTTTTAATTTATGACATCTGTTCTCTACAATGCTAAAAAGAAAGATAATTCTGCATTTTCCATTGATAAAATTTGCAAGGTGAAAATAGAATTTCTAAAAATGTTTAAAATATCATTTTAAAATATTTTAGGGAAAAGTTGCTTTTAAATACAAATTAGGTTAGTTATCCTTTTTTTCTACCATTAGAAGAAATGTGACCTATCTTAAGATAGGATGCAAATTTGAAGACTTGAACATTAAGACAAAATATTTTTTCATGTACAAAGTTCAAACCCAAGTGAGTATAAAATGTATTTCCTATTGTCATGTTTTTACAAAATCAATTTTTATGCCACATTTATTTTGGTAGCAGAATTAATTGAAAGCATGCCTTGATAACTATTTTTTATTCGTTAGAATTTGTAAATTTGCATGAGAGTAATGAATCCTACTGCCTGTTAAAAAAAGTTTCTTTTGCATAGAAAGTGATTTCATTATCCAGAAAAAAACAAACAGTGATTCACTATTCTTAATTAACAATGCTATTTATACAACATACTTATAGAATGTATATTTGTGGCATGTGCAGAACTATTCGTTTCATGGACAGACCTCAAATACTACTAAGATTAGTTCAAAGATCTCAGTAACTTTAATAGTTTAAGTCACTTACTAATTTAGCTTTTCTTTTAAAAGATAATATCTGTAAAGGAAGATTTTCATTTTGCTGTAGACCAATATATAGAAATTTTAAAATATTTTGCATTAACAAATAAATACCAGAAAACCTCTGTAGCAACTTTATTTTCCCCTCAGCATGAAGGAAAATTTTTCAAATGCCCAAATGACTTAATAACTATAAAGCAAGATCCTATAGAGAGGCTGTATCAACTCTAGATACTAGAGTATTGATTGCTCAACTTATTATAATTAATTTTCAATTATTCAAAGGCTAATTACCCATGTAGATTTTCCAGGCCCTTTCTTTCTCTTCTCTCTGCCTCCTAGACACCTTACCTCTCACTAGAAGATGGGAGTGGAAAATAAAAGGAGATAAAATTAAAACCATTCAGATGTGCCATGTGTTAGTAGTTGGGGCAAAAGGTTCTGTGAGTAGGTGAATAAAATGACTTGCTGAAATTACTTGATTTATATGTCAATTTCTATTATTTATGCTGTTGCTGTGGGGGAAAATATGAAATATTAAGGAAACTAAATTTGATTTTAATTGAATTTGATTCTATAAACAGTTATTAAGTACCTACTATGGGCAAACCATGTGAAGGTACTTGAACAGAATTGAAATAAACTGGATGGCCAGAAAGAATTGCTACTGTATCTAAAGACACATCATAGAAGGTTGGTCTTTGGGAAATGAGAGAAGTGGATTCAATATATAGTAGAAATGGAAAATAGTTATTTTACTATCAACTAAGCTAGTATTTATGAAAATTCATAAAACATCTTGTTGAGCTAAATCTGTGCCAATACAGCAATCAATAAACATTTATTAAGCACCTACTATGTGCTAGGCATGTGCTAAGTGCTAGGGAAATGAAAAGAGCCAAAAAACAGCCTTGTCCTTAAGGAGCTTACAGTCTAATGACAACGAACATAGTCTTTAGCTCTATGCTTATATTTTTATACATGCTTTATGCTGATAGTTGTTTAATCTTATTTTTACCTTTGGAATAATTTTTGATATTTTCTTTATTAAATTATTTTTACATGGTCATCTCATTTAAGTTTCAGAATCTGTTACTGGAGTCTTCTTTTTTCTTACCTCTAAATCATTGAAAAATAAATGTGTGTCAGCAAGGTTAAAAATCATTTCCTCCATTCGTAGTCCAAGGGTTACTGCCATCGGGGGATCCTAAAGGGAAAACACACATATCCTGAGTGAGGTAAGTTACCTGAAACCACCATCAGCAGCAAAAACCACTTCTTGAGTGCCTACAAGAAAAAAAATCCTGGTGCTTAAAGTATTTACAATTCAAAGGGGAGGTAGGGTATACACACATTTGCAGAATCAAGGAATCTCAGAGTTGGCAGAGGACTCGAAATCTAGCAAGCTCAAACCCCTATGTTAAAGGGAGTCTCCTCTATATCACTTTTACAAATTGTCATATAGACCTGATTTAAAGAGCTACCATAACGAGGAATGCTGTAGCTCCTGAGATAGCCCGTTTCTCTTTTATCTTTCTCTAAATATTGAGGGATTTTGTTTTGTTTTATTTTTCCATATATTGAAATGACATCTGCCCTCGGCAACTTCTACGTTTTGCCCCTTGGGTTCAAATAGAATAATAACTCCCAAATCTATGGTACTGGAGGCACTTTCCTCACAACAACTATGTGAGGTAGGTAGAAGGATGATGATTATTTTATAGAGGATGAAATTGAGGTTAAATAACAACTTTGGGCACTAACTTTCCAAGGGAAGATTTGAACTTGGGCCTCCTGACTTTAAGTTCAGTACTTCTTCTATTTGTCTCATTTCCCTTTAGTAAATCTAATTTCTCTTCAAAATACCAACCTGTCAAATGCTGGAAGATAAGTTATCATGTCCCCTCTCAG